ATACATCTTAAAAAAAAAAAAAAAGATGCTGCCATGCTGCCTAGAATACCTGCATCCTACAGTCCATTCCCATCTGGAAGCCAGCAGCTCCTGGCTTTGACCTGGTCCAGCTCTGGATATTACAGGCATTTGGGAAGCAAATCAGCAGGTGGAAGGTCTCAATCTCAATCTCTCTAATTAAAAAGAAAAAATGGGGGGGGGCAGGGGTACAGTGTGTTAAGCTGCCAACTGTGAATGCTGGCATCCTGTATCTGGACACTGGTTTAAGTCCCAGCTGCTCTGCTTCTGATCCAGCTCTCTGCTAACATGCTTGGGAAAACAGAGAAGATGGCTCAAGTGCTTGGACCCCTACTACCCACATGGGAGTCCCAGGTGGAGTTCCAGGTTCCTGGCATCAGCCCAGGCTGTTGCAGCCATCTGGGGAGTGAACCAGTAGATGGACTTTCTCTTTCTCTTTTTGTCACTCTGTCAAATAAAAGACATCTTTAAAAAATTTTTTTAAAAAGTCACTTGGGCGAGAGGCCATGGTGCTGCAAGTACAAGCTTTGCAGTTAGACAGATTTGAGTCTGCATCTGCGGTCAGCTGATCACCAGTTTAGAATAAGTTTTATCAGCCAGGCATTCCAAAATTGGCTTTGAATTGGTTTTAATCTGGAACATGCTTTTCACTGGTCTGTAACCGAAAGAAGACAAACTAGGACAATGTAATAGAGTTTTCCATAGTACTGAATTCATTGTCTCTATTAATTTTGTATTATAACTTTCCTGCCTTTTTGGTGATAAAATGTCCTTTTATTTAGGAAAGGATGGAACAGTAGATGACAGTAATTTTTAAGAAGATCCTTAATTGGCCGGCGCCGTGGCTCACTAGGCTAATCCTCCACCTGCAGTGTCAGTACTCTGGGTTCCAGTCCTGGCTGGGGTGCCGGTTCTGTCCCAGTTCCCTGCTGTGGCCCGGGAGGGCAGTGGAGGATGGCTCAAATGCTTGGGCCCTGCACCCGCATGGGAGACCAGGAGGAAGCACCTGGCCCCTGGCTTAGGATCAGCGCAGTGCTGCCCGTAGCGGCCATTTGGGGGGTGACCCAACAGAAGGAAGACCTTTCTCTCTGTCTCTCTTTCTCAGTAACTCTGCCTGTCAAAAAAAAAAAAAAAAAAAAAAGAAGAAGAAGAAGAAGAGGAAGATCCTTAATTACCCTTGACAGTATTAAAAGTTGAGGATCTTATATCTGGGCTCAATTGCCATCCCTATACATCCAGCTTAATTTTTTTTTAACTTGTCCATGAAGTCCAAAGATCTAGCAATCACTGACTTAGAAGTCTCAGTTTTCTCTTCAGTAGAATGGGGGAAAACAAACTCTCTCGTAGAAGTCTGTGCAATAATGATGGCATATAAAAAGTATCAAGTCCTGGGGTCAGCGCTATGGTGTGGCAGATTAAACTGCCGCCTATGGCGCTGGCATCACATATGGGTGCCAGCTGGGAGTCCACACTGCTCCACTTCCCATCCAGCTCCCTGCTGGTATGCCTAGGAAAGCAGCAGAAGACCAGGAAGATGCTCCTGGCTCCTATCTAGCCCAGCTCTAACCATTGCAGCCATTTAGGGAGGAACCAGCAGATGGAAGATCTCTCTCTCTCTCTCTCTCTCTCTGTAGCTCTGCCTTTCAAATAAAATAGGTAAATCTTAAAAAAAAAAAAAAGTTATCAACTCCTTAAAGCTTTACCATCAACAACACAAAGCTTGACTACTTGACTTTAAGATTTATTTAATAGAACCCAAAAATGAGCAATAAAATCCATATTCAGGCAGTCTAACAGACATGTCAGAGGACAAGCTCTGGCCCAGATTTAAAACCTGGCTTTGTCACCTGAAGCTCTGTGGGGCCGAGTAAGTCACAGACTGCCTGAGTGGCAGGTCTCCCACCACCCCAAGGAGATGACGAAGATCTGCTACACAGGGCTGTTTTAAGATGTGAATTGATAATCTACTTAAGATGCTACCACAGTGCCCTCTAAATGCTCTAGAAATGTTGACTGTCATCATTCACAGAGTAAGGGGCCCAGAGGTGCTCTAAATGCCTGCAAGCCTCCCCATCAACAGCTTCAATGGTAAATCCCACAGGAAGAGACCATGAGGATAATACGACCACATCTACTGAAAATATTTCAAGTTAAACCTCTAGGCCAAGAACAGGAATCTGGATGGCATACAGATCCACGCAATATCAAATGTCAGCCTAAGCAGTATCTGTGGAATCACTAATTCTCATTATTTTTGAAATTTGTCCGTGTTCCTCAAAGGAAGTACCATATAATCAAAATGGTGACTCTCAAACAAAATGGCTAACTTTTAGGAAAAGTAACCTTTCTAGAAAATCAAATGTAATTTTTATTTACTCTGAATTTTCTCTACTAACATTAATCTTCAGTGAAGAAACAGATTTTAGTGTTACTTGTTTTAAAATATGGCTACTTTGAAATTCAAAAACATAAATCATAATTTTAGTTTAGCATAAATTAGCTGTAGTTTAGAATAGCTTACTTTTTTATAAAGTTAAGTACAATTTATATGTGAACAGCATTGCAGTAGAAATTTTCAAATGGTAAATGAGTTTTTCCTTTAGCAGTCTACAATGTGTTTTCATAAATACACTGAAAAACAAAAATCATACATAAACACCCCTAAGGGTGTAACCCACAGCAGTTCCCTGTCCCAGAGCAGCTGGTAAGCAGGAGCAAGCTATTCTCAAGAGAAGAAACACTTTCATCAAAGCACAGCCCAACATTTCCTGTATCTATGATATCACCATCTCTAACCTCACTCTCTGCCAAACTTTCAAGTTTATTTTTTAAGGTTTATTTTATTTATTTCAAAGAGTTACAGAGAGAATAGGGCCAGAGAGAGAAATCTTCCATCTTCTGGTTCACTCTCCAAATGACTGCAACAGCCAGAGCTGAGCTGATCCAAAAGCCAGGAGTCAGGAGCATCTTCCAGGTCTCTCATGAGGGTGCAGGGGCCCAAGGACTTGGGCCATCTTTTACTGCTTTCCCAGCCATAGCAGAGAGCTGGATTGGAAGTGGAGCAGCTGGGACTCGAACAGGCGCCCACATGGGATGCCAGTGCTACAGACTGGAGCTTTAAGCCGCTGCACTGATCCCCTTTCAAGTCTTTATAACCACCATGTTAGAATTAGGTGCAGGTTGCAAATACGTGTTCAAAGTTCATTAAAGGTCTAATATTAGAAGATACGGTTAAACTGGATTTTCTCCGTATTTCTGCAAACCATAAGAGCAATATACAATCAACTAGTTATAGCAGCTACTCACGATTGATTTAAGGAAAGTGTCCCCTAACTTCCAGAATATTTGGAAACTAAAGATTAAAATTCATGAGTCCACACTGCATTTCCCTTAATGTAAACAGTGCTGCAGAAGCATTGCATTGTGGGGGTGTAGCCATGAAGTTACATTGCCTGAGTTTAAATCCAGGCTTTGCCAAGGTAAAAAATGGGTCTAGGTCAAGCTAATCTTCCTAAACCTCAGTTTGCCTATAAACTGGAGATAATAACAGTACCAGCCTTAAAGGGTTATTTTGAGAAAATCCATGCATAGATCTGGGCCAGCCATCACTTAACTGCTCCTGCTTTTATCACTATCATCATCATCAATTGCAACACTAACAGAAGCAGCAATGGTTTTAAGTGCTTTGCTTATTAGTGATTGTCCTGTTGACTGTACAAAGAAATTATGGTGTATATATACACTATGACGGGTACTACACAGTTGTTAAAAAAAAAAAAAGAAATCCTGTCTTTTCCAACAAGATGGATGCAACTGGAAACCGTTATACTTAGTGAAATAAGCCAGTCCCCAAAAGACAGATCCTCTATTTTCCCTGATCCAAGGTAACTAATAGAGTACCTGAAATGTAATGTCCTGGAGTTAAACAGGCATTTTGAGAATTCATGATGGTTTACACCCCTTGTTTCTCATTGAGGAAGTTTTTTTCCTCTTCATGCTATTTGTTGAACTCTTTCATTTAAGAGTAGGGTTAACTATACGATTATTAAGTAAACTGAAAACAGATCTTTGTAAAAATTAAGAGTGAGAATGTGACAGGGAGGAGGAGGAAGGGTTGGAGAGTCGGGGGGGCGGGGAGGAAGTGTCACTGTGTTCTTAAATCTGTATATACGAAATACATGAAACCTGTATAACTTAAACAAATTTTTAAAAAAGAGAAGTGATTATCACACACATTAGGAAGGCAAATACACAAATATGAGAAAACGTTTTGTAGGGAAGCACCTCTGTGGAGGTTTATTTTGCTCACAAGCAACACAAAAACTTTCTAGAATTATCTTTGGAACCAAAAACGAAAGTCAAATCTAGGACCACAGATGTAATATCGCACGCAGCGCTGGTTATCGCGAGCGTCCAAGCAACACCTGCCAATCCTGGGGCACAAATGCCATTTCTCCCCAACGAACGACGATTCCAATCTCAGAACTTTCTAGGCTGCAGCCACACTTTCCCGCAAAAGCAAAAACGTACACAGACACTGGCTGACGGCGGCTGCTCGCCCACCCCGGATCGGGAGTCAAGGGGCTTTTGAGCCCTCAGACCAGTCTTCCAGGGTCTCGGGGGAAGACAGCGAGGGATGCTCGCGGCCTGGAGGCCACAGGGCGCGACCCCCGGGCGGGGGTGGGGGTGGGGGGCGGCGCCCCGGCGCCAGCAGAGGCAGGACCTGGGAGAGTGCGCCCCAAAAGCGGGCGCCAGGTTTGGCCGCGGGCCGAGGGCCCGAGGGTCGCGCCTGCCCCTCACCCAGGGCGCGGCGCCCCAGGCCGCTTCCTTCCTCCTCACGCCCCAACCGCCAAACGCGGACGTCCTCGGGCCACGCTCGCTCCACGGCCCGGAGAAGGCCGGCGCCCGCTTCCCTCTCACAGCCCCCGCCCCGGCAGCGCCGTGCCAGGCCTCCCGCAACCGCGTGCCGCGCAGAGCCTTACCAGCTGCCGCGCCCTGCGACAGGTGGCTCTGCGGGAGGAGAGGCCGCGGCTCTGCCGCCCACCCGGGTGATGCTCCGCTCCGGCGCCGCCTGGCCGCCTCCTCCTCGGAGCTCCTGGAAGCCGGCGCCGGCTCAGGCTCGTACTGGCGTGGGCGGCCCCCCAACCAGCCGAATTAGCCAGGAACCCGGCGCGGGCAGGCACGGCCCCGTGGGCGGAGACGGACAGACGCGCCGGCCAATGAGAGGCAGGGAGGCACGGAGCCAGCGCGGGGGGCGGGGCCCGCCTCGGGGCTTGGCGGTCAGGCTCCCCGCTCCGCGCTCCCGGCGGCCGCACCTTTCTCCGAGCTGTTCTTCGAGGTTACTGTTAGAAGCCGGGCGCGCGCCTGAGGGCGAGGGAAGCCATCCAGCGGGCGTGAGAGGCGCTGTGCTGAGGAGGAGGAGGAGGAAGACGCGTGCTCCCAGGAGGAAGTCGGGACTGGCGGGGCGTCGACCCCGCGGGCCCCACTCGCGGGTCGTCGGGGGTCAGGGCCGCGTGCTCGCGCGAGAAGCGGCTCTGCGCAGGCGCGGCCGGGGACCGGTCTCCCTGCCCGAGCGGCCGAGGGGAGGCTGCGAGTTAGGACGTCCGCGGGGGGAGGGGGAGGGGAGGGCGCGGGAAATACGAGGCTTCCGCCCTTGAGGGACGCGGCTTCCGAGCTGTTTAGCGTGCATGTAGGACTCAGTGGCCACGGCCGCTGGCGGTTCTGACCCGCGGGGACCTTACCGATCGTCCCTGCCCTCACGGTCGCCATAAATAGAGCGTGCGCGTCCTCTCAGAAAGGCCCGTCCTTGAGTCCGGCGGGCGCCGCGCCTTCCTGCCGGTGCCCGCCCACGAGGGTGATTCTGGAAGAATTGCTTCCCTCAGGTTTCGGAAAACGGTACTACCGAGAAGCCTTGACTGGCGTTGGGTTCGTGTACGCAAAACAGGGAGTGGAGATGATACTTTTAAGAGTAGAGATGTAAAGGGTAAAAAAGCAAGGCGGGTGGAGAAAAAGTGATGGGAATGTAGGATGGCTTGTGCCCGCCTGGACTGTGCCGCACGGCGGGGTGGGGCATGGGAGGGAACGCTGCAATTAGATGACAAATGGTAGATAGGGCTGCTCTAGCAGTCACCGCAGCGCGGCGTGGCCATGAAAAAATCATGACCTCAAATCACCCTGCTTACCAGAACCCTAACAAGCAGAGGCTGAATAAGGGAAACTTCGGGAAGTTCACGTAGAGGGAAAATCCTTTCATCTTGGAAAGATTGTCCTACAAGGGCGTCACCCGGGATTGAAGGGTTTTAGAGAACTGGCAGGGATGGGACTTCAGTTTGGTTAAGTTGAGGTCAATTTATTCCTTGTGAAATGAAGTATCTTCATGTCAAGGAAGCAGACGCTCAGTTCGTGGATTCCTTCTCCTTAGACACTCGAAGCAGTGATTGGTCAAAGCTTCCTACTGAAAAGCCAAACTCACAGTTTGTTACTGGGAAAACAAGCTAGTAGTTGTTCTGCTACTACACAATCACCACAGAATACGGTAATTCACCTCTGGTCATTAAAGACATGTGTGGGGTTCTACCCACCGACCCACTCTTCAGAGGATGTTAGCTGGGTGTGCTACGACTTCACTCAGTTCTAACATGCTGGACCCGGAAATGCAAAAGGTTCATGGAAATACAGGGTGTTGGTGCAATAAGCTTTAAAGTCCATTCATTTTTCCTATGTATTTCTGTGAACTTCCCGAAGATCCCTCCTAGTGCCCAGTTGTCACAGGTTAAGAGCTCAGATCCACAGGTCTGTCCCTAAAATCTGATGTCTAATCCAATAGGTTGGGGGCATACAGAACTGAAGTATTACTACTACTACTGCTACTACTACTACTACTACTACTTTAGATCTGACATCCTCAATTTGACCTAATAGTTACAAACTAAAGAAAGAAGTATAAATTATTATAACAGGGGCTGGCATTGTGGTGCTGCTTTGGCCTGGCCCAACCTTTGCTGTTGTGGGCCTTTGAGGAATGACAGAGCAAATAGAAGAGTCTCATATTCTCTCTCCCTGTCTCCCTCTGTTTCTGTCTCTCTGTCTCTCTCACATACATACACACAGCCTTTCAAGTAGATGAAAATAAACATTAAAAATTATTAGTACAGTAATGGAATTTTTGTGCATTTTAATAATGACAGAAATTGTTTATAGCTGCAAACAGAAAACCCTATGAGAATTGAATTGTACGAATGGAGACTTCTTTCACAAAACAAGAAATACAGTAGGATTCAGGCTTACTCCATCTGGATGCTTGAAAATGAAAGAACCTCTCCTAAATGCAAGGCCTCTTCACGAGATGACAATAGGACTGACAGTCCTTGACTAGGAATATGGCTGAACATGAAATACATTTCCAAGCAGAGGGTGGGCTACCTGTGTTATTCATCCCATTTATGGATAATCTGGGAGTGATAAAAGGAAGGTCGTTTGGATTGTAGTGGGTAGGAATGTGTGGATGCAGGGGGAGGGAGTTTGAAAGTTATCTGAGAAATGCTTCAATTCTTTAACAACTTTTTGTTTGTTTGTTTGCTTGCTTGCTTGCTTATTTCCTTCCAAGGAAAGAGTACATCCTGGGAGTTTGCAATGTGTGAGTTCTAGTGTTCTCTCTTAGGGAACTGGATGGCTTTTCTCCCATCAGATGGACACGATTAAACTTTCCCTACCTATTTCAAAGATTTTGAAAAGAGTAAAGGAGATGAAAAGTGTAAGGGTTTTGTAAATTTAAAAGGATATAGATGCAAACAAAGTATTCAGGCTCCCTGCTTGGCATGTTTGTTCAATGAATAACAATTGCCATTTACTGAGCGCTTATTATTTGCTGATCATCACTCTAGGGCTCTTCCTGTATACATCAAAGTCTTTTCATTGTCTTGACAGTCTGAGGTAGGTGTAACTGTTATCCCCATTTCACCTATAGGAAAACTGAATGCTTAGAGGTTGACTCACCCAAGGCTGCCTCTAAAGAGTGGAAAGAACATGCAAACTCTGCTGTACAATTCTGAGTGTTTTTATATACAGTTCAATGTCTTGCAAAGACTAGAAAGAGCATCCCACTTCCCAGACTGGGAAGGCCTTCCCCTCTACAAGCTGTCAATTAAAATCCCCTTCGTAACTCAAGGACAAATTCTAGTCTCATCTTTTCAGTGGACTTTCGTGCAAGAGTATATAAATGTGCATTGGAATCACCTGAGAACTTTAAAACAATCGGTTATCCTACACCAATGACATAATCTGATGTGAGACTCCAGCACATGTGTTTCTTGATCATTCTCTTGTGTTCCAATTTTGCATACTTATACAGTGTATTACGAATTCCACAAGAGAAGGGATTTATAAAATTATTTCTTCCAAGGCCGGCGCTGTGGCGCAGCAGGTTAAAGCCCTGACCTGAAGCACCAGCATCCCATATGGATGCTGGTTCTAGTCCCAGCTGCTCCTCTTCTGATCCAGCTCTCTGCTATGGGCTGGGGTAGCAATAGAAGATGGCCCAAGTCCTTGGGCCCCTGCACCCACGTGGGAGACCTGGAAGAAGCTCCTGGCCCCTGGCTTCGGATCGGCACAGCTCCGACTTGCAGCCATCTGGGGAGTGAACCAGTGGATGGAAGACCTCTCTTTCTGTCTCTACCTCTTTCTGTAACTCCGTCTTTCAAATAAATAAAATAAAATAAATTATTTCTTCCTGCATTCGTCCCTTGTCCCCATGTGATTAGTGCTTGATTAAATGACAAAAACATCTGGTTTATTTGGGCAGGTAAATCTGTCAGCATTAGATGCAGGAGTTCTCAAAGTGTGACCCAAGACCCTGGCCACCTTCCTCCCCAGGTTGTTAGCAGTGCAGATTCTCAGGCTTCCCCAGTGAATCAGGAACTCAGGGGTTGAGACCCAACAATTTTGATTTTTTTTTTTTTTTTTGACAGGCAGAGTGGACAGTGAGAGAGAGAGAGACAGAGAGAGACAGAGAGGAAGGTCTTCCTTTTTCCGTTGGTTCACCCCACAATGGCTGCTGCGGCCAGCGCGCTGCACTGATCTGAAGCCAGGAGCCAGGTGCTTCTCCTGGTCTCCCATGCCGGTGCAGGGCCCAAGCACTTGGGCCATCCTCCACTGCACTCCCTGGCCACAGCAGAGCTGGACTGGAAGAGGAGCGACCGGGGCAGAATCCGGTGCGCCAACTGGGACTAGAACCCAGGGTGCCAGCGCCGCAGGTGGAGGATTAGCCTATTGAGCCACAGTGCCGGCCAACAATTTTAATTTTAACAAGCCCTCCTGGTGATTTGGATAACACCCTCAAGATTAAGAACCACTATCTGGTGCCATGCATTGATCAAGTAGTCCTCAGGACACAGTTTATTTTTCTGTGTAAAATTGCCTACTGAGAAGAGAGAATTGGGAAACAAGAATGAAAAAGACAATACTTGCCCTCCACCCTGAACATACCCAGTTTTATCTGATGTAGAAGGCAGCAAGGATGGCTCAAGTGATTGGGACCTTGCTGCCAATGGGGGAAACCAGGATTGAGTTCCCCAGCTCCAGGCTTCTGCAACTCCCACACCTGATTATCTAATTGGGTTTCTGGGAGTGAGCCAGTGGGTGGATGCTTTTTCTCTCCCTCTGTCTATCTCTGCCTCTTCCTCTAAAATAAATTTAAAGATAATTTAAAAGAGCAACCTTTAAATAAAAATATGTATTTATTTATTTGAGAGACAGAGCTACAGAAAGAGAGGGAGCGACAAAGAGAAAGAAGGCTCTTCCATTCGCTGGTTCTCCCTGCAAATAGCCAGGGCTGAGCCAAGTTGAAACTAGGAGCTTCATCCAGTTCTCACACATGGGTAGGGGAGCCCAAGCACTTATACCATCTTCCTCTGATTTCTCAAACCCACTAATAGGAGGCTAGATCAGAAGTGGAGCAGCCAGGACATGAACTGGCACTCATATAGGATGCCAGCATTGCAGGTGGCTGCTTAACCTGCTGTGCCACAATGCCAGCCCCAGGAGCAACCCTTTTTATGGTACTGGAATTTGGGGAAATACTACGTACAGTGATTAATTTCAGTTTTCCTGGATTAAGCAGATAATTTATTAGTTAAGTAAGGCTTATTGTAATGCTTAAGAACTAAATTTATTATGAATGATTAATAGCCATTATGACATTTTCCTTGTTATTTTGAGTACAGAAATGACTGATGGAATAAATTATATAAGAACTAACCTTTAAGGAAATACTTTTTTTAAAAAAAGATTTATTTATTTGAAAGTAAGAGTTACACAGAGGAGAGGCAGGGAAAGAGAGTTCTTCCATTCGCTGGTTCACTCCCCAATTGGCTGCAATGGCCAGAGCTGCGCCAATCCAAAGCCAGGAGCCAGGAGCTTCTTCCAGGTCTCCCATGCAGGTGCAAGAGCCCAAGGACTAGGGCCATCTTCTGCTTTCCCAGGCCATAGCAGAGAGCTGGATCAGAAGTAGAGCACCCGGGATTTGAACTGGCACTCATGTGGGATACCGGCACTGCACATTGTGGCTTTACCCACTACAGCCCCCTAAGGAAATACTTTTGATGATAGAAGTCAGTAAAGTGGTTACCTTTAAGAGGAGGCAAGTTTGGTTCCTGAAAAGTGACCTAAAGGAAACTTCTGAAGGCTACACATGTTCCATATCTCAGGCTGAGTGATGGCTTCATGGCCATATGCAAAAGTTCATCATGCTTGAGATTTACATACTCTGCACTTCTTACTGCATGGATTTTATAATCACCTCAACAAATAAGTAAAATGAAGGAAATGCCTTCTGGAACTCTGTTGTGGATCCAGTATCTTTCTTATGGCCTTCCTCCTTGGGGTCCTACATCGGAGCCCCCAAGAAAAGCACAGTGCTCATTCTTGACTGCCTAGAATACAGCTCACTGCCCTGTCAGAGTTATAAGATGGTTTTGCAGGCAGTGCAAATAGTACCAACCTCTGGAGCAAGACACAAATGCCTCTTGAGGAAGCATGGATTACAAGACAAGACTGAATCAAACAAAGCCCTAAGGCCCAAATTGAAGACAAACAGGTGTTGGTTTCCGTCACTGAATAGAGAAAGGTGTGAGTGAGGATCAGTCTTCATGGGTTCTGTCCTGTTGGGAGCTGAAGTTGCCATTTTGGGCTTTGTTTTTAGTTTGGCCTGTTCACCAGTGAAGTGGGAGGAGTCTTGCAGTGGCCAATGCTGGAATACACTTGTCCAGGTAAGTACCCTGTGAAACTCTTCAACTGACAGAGTTTTGTTGTACCTGAGTGAATGCAAACAGAGGGGAGCACCACACATTGATAAACTTTGATGGTCCTTTATTGCTGGTGGTGGAGAGTAGGCTCATGACCTGAGGAATGCTCAACCCCAAAGCTCAAAGCAACAGGGTTTATAAAGGCAAAAACCACAAGGAGGGGAGGGGGATACATGGTTGCTAGAGTCAAGCTGACCTAAGATCTATGTGAAACTAGTATTAATTACAATCTTGACAATACCAATTGCAATCCTGACATTAGTCCAGGTACTGACCTAAATCATATGTGGGACTTAGACAAATTACAATTTTATCATTAATCCAGGTGCAGCCTGTTTTTATGCTTGAGCAGTCATGCTAGGGAGTCTCTGTGTTCTGCCAAGTGGGATGCCGTAGACTGTTACTGTCTGAGTTTTAGATCATAGTTTCAGACCACAGCCTCATGGTGCAGGGGTGTTTCTCAAGATGGAGTCTTGGGTGCTCTAAAATGGGGTCCCTACTGTCAAGGTGTTACTTCAGTTTCAAGTGGTATATATATGCCAATTATTTCAAAATGGACACATATTTGCCAGTCTTCCTCAAAATTAAAGATACCTGGAAAAAACTTTGCATCAGTTGCCATGAAAATGGAGTAGGCCTATTTTATCCAAACACCACGATGTGTTTCCTTAAGGAAAATCTGTATTATTGATGTCTCTCAGAATTATGGAAGGTCATTCTCTTTGTGGTGAGAGTATACATAAATAGAACTGTTGCTTTTGAACTGACACTTTATCTGTAGCAAACACAGATAAGTAAGTTGTGCTAAGCACATAATTAGATTTACACATCTCCATGGACCTTAGAATAGAAACCATTAATAATGAATACTAACTGCACTGCTGCAAATTATCCTCCAATAAATTAGGATCATTAAAAAAGCAAACTTTTTCAAAATGCAAGAGAAAGTAAACAGTGTGTCTAAAGGCATTTGTTTTAGACACTGAGGAAACAAACCTTCTGTTGGCCTCATCTGGAAGTGAGACAAAAGCATTTGTTTAGGTAAGTACTATCATTAAGAAAAAATAATGTTTTCCCAAAATACAATGAAGTGTTAGTGGTGGTAATTACCCCCCAAAACGTACTAGCAAGTCTTTATATAATTAAAGTAAATATAACTTTTAAGGCTGTCTGCAGGGTAAATGAATACCTTAATAAGCAGTATCCTCATTACCAAAATATTTTAAGGTTCTAAAAACCTTTGTGAAGTACAAAGACATTAACATTATAGGTTCATTAACAATAAAAGGACATTTATTCCTTGAGGAAAAATAGTACTTCAATATTTACGGAAAATATTTTCCTATACTTGATTTAGGTTAACCTAGAAGGAGTAAAGTAAACATTGAGTAGTGCCATGACTTTGTGGAAAATATCCTCTTTATTCTATGAAAGTAATTTGATCCTGCCAAGGCCGGCCCTGAAATCTCCCTGAGCTGTAGGCTTCTTGGTGTCACTTACTCTAAATCCTAGTCCTGACACTTATGTTCTGGGGCAGAAGGTAAAGCTCTTGCTTGCGAAGCCCACATCCCATATCCAAGTGCCGTTTCAAGTCCCAGGTACACTGCTTCCAATCCATCACTCCAGCTCATGCATTCTGCAAGGCAGATGATGGCTCAAGGGCTTGGGCCACTGTCAGCTATATGGGAGCTCTAGATGGAGTTCAGCTCCTGGCTTCAGTCTGGCCCACTGCTAGCTGTAGTGGGTATTTGAGGGTATGAGCCAGTAGATGAAAGATCACTCTCTCTCTCCCTCTTTCTCTCTCTCTCTCTCTCTTTCACTTTCCCTCTCTCTGTCAAGTGGATGAAATTTAAATAAGCAAAGATAAATAAATAAATCCTAGTACTGGCTTCATCATTATCTGTAACTCCTTGTGAGATGATTCTGGGAGAGGCAGCACTGACATCACCAGGATGCTTGTTTAAAAAAAACACCCCAGAATCTGCTTGGAACAACATACCCCCATGGCACATTAACCTTGAGAACCACGGAGGCCTTCTGATGCCCTAGATTCTGTGAACTCATTGCTGAGAATGGATTTTTATTTCTAGATAGGGGATAATGAGAAGTCCATGATGCTGTCTTTATCTTCACATGGCTCCTGTGCCAAGGCAATCCACAGTTGTTCTTTTCATCCCCACACTGAAGGTGTATTATGCTTAAGTCATGAGCAGTGCCATTTTACTGTTCATTCACTACATGTGTAGCAGTAAACTACACACCAGGTAGAAAGTTTGCATCAAATGCAATGGCTGCAAAGTCTCCGATGTCTCAGGGATGAAGTACCAGGAATGCTTGCTTTGATCGTACAAATGTGTTCCTAGTATGCTGAACATAACTGCGTAAGAGCAATAGCACCTTCAGGCTTCATAGCTCTTAGGATATATAAGTCTGAAAAGCTACCTCTGAGCTTCTATCTGTTGGGGGCAGTACAGAGATATTTTTCGGTAAGATGTGCAAGATTCCTGTCCCCAAAAGAGCAGCTACAGCAGATACAGTAAAATAGGGGCACCAAAATATATAAACTGGGTTTGATTATTCAATATCTTTTCCTACAAAGCAACAAATGATAAGTTCTTTGTTGCATGGGTATCAATCCCTAAAAATAGCTTTAACATTGTGATATGGATGGTTCTATGTATTTTACTGCAAGACATTCTGTAACCACAAAAGCTTCTTCCAGGTCTTCCACGTAGGTGCAAGGGCCCATGGACTTGGGTCACCCTCTGCTGGCCTCCCAGAGACATTAGCAGGGAGCTGGATTGGAAGTGGAGCAGCCAGGGCTTAAACCAGCACTCATATGGGATGCCAGCCCATTTGTGACAGCTTTACTCTCTACATCACAGTGATGGCTTCTCCCCCAGTATTTTTTGATTTTAGGTTTGCTACCATTCCTTTAAAAAGAAATATTTATTTATTTATTTGAAAGGCATAGTAACTGGGAGGCAGAGAGAGAGAGAGAGAGAAGGAGAGAGTCTTCTATCCGCTGGTTCACTCCTCAAATGGCCACAGTGACGGGGGCTGGGCCAACCCAAAGGTCTCCCACGTGAGTGCAAGGACCCAAGCACTTGGGCCATCTTCCACTGCTTTCCCAGGCACATTAGTAGGGAGCTGGATCAGAAGTGGAGCAGCCAGGACTCAAATTAGCGCCCATATGGGATGCTGGTACTGCAGGCTGCAGCTTCACTGGCTAGCCATATTACCAGTCCCTCCTTTGTTTTTTTTTTTTTAAGATTTATTTATTTCAAAGGCAGAGTGACAGAAAAAGGAGAGACAGACAGAGAAAGAGATCTTTCATCTGCTGGTTCACTCCCCAAATGACCGCAGTGGTGGTGTTAGGCCAGGCTGAAGCCAGGAACCTGGAACTCCAGCCAGGTCTCCCACATGGGTGGCAGAGAGCCAGGCACTTTAGCCATCTTCTGCTGACTTTCCAGGGGCGGTAACAAACAGCTGTATCTGAAATGGAGCAGCTGGGATTCAAACCAGTACTTGTATGGGATGCAGGCATCTGGGGCAGTGGCTTAACTAGCTGTACCATGAAACGGGCCCCAGGCTTACTAGCATTCTGAAATGCTTTCTGAAGTGAGTTACCTTCTATGCCAACCTGACCATCTGAGCTGAGAATTCTTCCAGATGTTCTTCATGTGGCTGTCAGTTTTCTCGGGAATATCTAGGGTACCCCAGGATCTTCCTGGAGGTTTGACTCAATTCTATTGGTTCATGTTAGGACTTGGGCATGGTGGAATCTGCACCAGTCTCAGCAATTAACTAGGAGCATTCTGGATTAATAGGCATCTAAAGGGAAGTAGAATATATTTCTTTTCTTGCACTTGAGCCAAAATTATAATAGATTGCACAGAAGACATGAACTAAATGATGGTTCCTAAGTAACACGACTTGGCAAAAGGATATTTAAGCTCCAACTTGTTAAAGCTACCAAATAGTGGAAATAGAATCATTTGCTCATGTCTTTGCATCTGAAATAAAAAATAATGGTTCTTCAGATTTATTCATAAAGAACCAAATCACAGGGGCTGGCGCTGTGGCGCAGCAGGTTAATGCCCTGGCCTTAAGCACTGGCATCCCATATGGGCGCCGGTTTGAGACCCAGCCACTCCACTTCCGATCCAGCTCTCTGCTATGGCCTGGGAAAGCAGTGGAAGATGGCCCAAGTCCTTGAGCCCCTGCACCTGCATGGGAGACCTGGAAGAAGCTCCTGACTCCTGGCTTCAGATCAGCACAGCTCCAGCTGTTGCAGCCAACTGTGGAGTGAACCATTGGATGGAAGACCCCTCTCTATGCCTCTCCTCTCTCTGTGTAACTCTGACTTTCAAAAAATAAATAAATAAATCCTTTTTTTAAAAAAGAACCAAATCACAGAATCTTAACTATTTTTGTGCATTGGACATTACTGTTGGAATCTAGAGACTCCATAAAATGATTTTTTCAATACATAAAACAAAATTTGCAGAATCCAATTGCAATGAATCAAAGTAACAAAATAATTTTAAACCCCAAATCTTAGTATAATAATATATGTGCTATCCTATAATGCATTTAATAAATCTAATGGTAAGACCAGCAACTGGTAATAATATTTCAAAGTATTTGCAGCAATTGTAAAGTGATATGATCAATAATTTGTTTAATCCTCATGTTTTGTTGCCTATATTTATGATTGGAAAAAAAAGTTAAATTCCAGCTGTAAATTGATGGAAATAAATATATTTTTCCAATCCAGGTTCACACACTGCTTATGCTTAAGCACTCCTGTGGGAGACTGGTGTTGTGGTGTAGCAGGTAAAGCCGCCTGCTTATGGCGTGCCTCCCATATGGGTGCTGACTCATGTCCCGGATTCTCCACTTCTGATCCAGCTCCTTACTAATGGCCTTGGAAAAGCAGCAGAAGATGGCCCAAGTGCTGG